CATTTTTCAAGAGTTAGGAACACTGAGCAGTCAGGGTCGAGGTGTGGGTAACAATGCGTGATCAACTCAAAACCCTTAGACAATGGCCTCGTGCAAGTGCCAAGTGTGGCAAAGCTCACAATCAGCTGACCTGACAGCAGGCACGGTATCGCTCGGCACTCTTCTGTGCTGGGCGCGCTGGCAGCAGCAAGAGTTTTCAACTGTGTACACCGTAGTATGTGCGTGGAATATTTTCTCCTAAAGTTGCAGCTTCGAAATTTATACTCGGTTTGGCAAGGGGAAATGATGTGCGGTTCTACTGAAGTACGAGACTCATATGTGACAAGGCTTTCGTTTGCACCAATTCGCTTTTCGCCATGTGCGAGTCGCTAAAATCGTTTTGGCCATGTGCGATTGGCTATCTAGTTTCATAATTGAAGGGTTATCATAAGCCTCCAATGAATTCGACACTCGTGATAGTGTCGACAAAGTAGTGTATTCTGGTGCCCCATCGAGCAGTTTTATCCGGAGGAAATCGTTAGTGCTGGCCCGTACACACGTGGGTGTATCGAAAAGAAGTTTCGAGGAAGTTTCGTTTCAATAACCTTTCATTCAAGTTGGCGGAAACCCCTGTATAACTGGTTTCATAGTGGACCCCCGAAATAAGTCTGAGGCTCAGCCTACACTACAATGACTACGCTGAAATTTCAGACAAGTCAGTTAAAAAAACTCTGAAAAATCAGACAGGGTGCATAAAAAAAAACTTCGAGTTCAGACTAGGTTAAAAAAAAGTCTGAACGGACTCTGAATCAGACTCCATAGTCTGATATCTAGGGCCCTGCTCATGCCTTCGCTCACATTTTGTACTCGTTTGACACCTTAGTGCAATTCTCGCTACTTCGATTCATTGCACCCGTACGTACAGGCCCTCAGATGTCAGCGTAAAACACGCTGATTACGCTGATTTTGTAGCTCTGAATTTCGTTTTCCCTGGAAAATCAGTAAATGCTTCCATTTTGGGCTGAAATTTCAGTAAATGTGAGTTTGCCACACTAACAGTTTTGTGTGTTTCTGAACGAGTTACACTGAGGAATCAGTATACTTCAGTGCGTCACCCTGAAACGGATTTGACCGGCCGGGGGAAAGGGGGGGGGGGGGGGGGGGGGGGGGGGGGGGGGACGCGTGTACAGGCTGTTCCTTCGCGTGATTCACGAAACCCCACACACACTTGGAATCTTCTCACATGCGCTGTATTTACAGCTAGTGCGCGCCGAACCGTTTTGCCGCGCTGGAAGCCAGAATACCAGAGAACGGCTAACCTAGTCCACAACTGCCCAATGAGAACACAGACAACACACCACTGGTGGCAGGGTCCACGCCAACACGCCAGGGATGGCAGAGTGGAGTGGGGGTGTTGTCATCTTGCCTGGGAAGACGAAAACCCTGGCCTGGACCAAGATCCCTCGTCATCGCAGCTCGGGAGAGGGGGTACCCCCATCTGCTCCCTCATTCTGTTCCTGCACTCCTCGTGAACCCCTGCAGGAAGTGATGTTCGAGCTGAAGCAGGAGTAGCTTCTCCCTCAAGCTCGGCATGCTCTGCAGCGCTGAGCAGCCATGGCGGTTTCGACGCCCGCAGGTGACGGCCCTCCGCCCGTCGCAGGCACGAGGCCAGCCGCTATTACTGGCTTAGACTTTTTACGACGCGTTCACGCTGCTCCCGCGTTAGTCCCGCCGTCAGCTCAAGCCGTGCCGTTCCCTTCCACTGGCCCTGAGGCACCTACCATCTGGACGCAGGGCGAGTGTTCGACGCATGTAGGCGCTGCCGCTTCACCTCCTGTCGCTGCTGCATCAACTCGTGTCGCTGCCGCATCAACGCCTGTCGCTGCCGCATCAACGCCTGTCGCTGCCGCATCAACTCCTGACGCTGTCGGATCTACACCTGCCGCTCCCGAACCCACACGGAACCGTCAACCTGTCGCTGCCCAAGGAAGAGCAGCCCTTTCACGCAGGCTTGAAGGCCATTTTGCAGACCAGCGACTGGCAAACCAGCTACCCCAACCTAGTCCGTCTGTGGGCTGCCGTCGCTGTACTGCCGCTCAGCACAGTCGAGTGCGAGCGCGGGTTTTCCCGCTAGAATGTGATAAAGTCGTGGCGCCGGACGAGTCTCTGCAACGCTAAGCTGGGAGATTTGATGGCGATGTCGCTGCTCGACTACGACATGGACTGGGACAAGGTGGTGGACATCTGGCGGAGTACCAGGAACAGGCGCCCCAGCAAGCGCAAGGAGCAAGCTGCGCCAGAGAAGGAGCGGGCCAAGGCCAAGTTTGTTAAGGGGAGTGGCCGCCGGCTGGTGCAGGTGGAGGAGGAGCTAGATGAGGGCATGAGTGGTTCTGCAGGCGATGACAGTGAGAGTGATGATGATGGCAGCAGTAGAAGTAGCGTTTCTTCTTCAGATGATGACATGAGCTAGTTCTCTAGTAGTACTAGTTAGGTAGGTTAGGTTAGGTATATTTATTTTGGACTTTTTTACACTGAAGGATCAGTACAGTGGAAAATTTTACCCTGACAGGATCAGTATATTGAAAACCACCAACGCTGATTTGGACACCTGGTTGGCAGGGGCACGCTGATCCATCAGCATACCCTCAAACCAATCTGAGGGCCTGCGTACGTAACAATAATATAACAAACCTACCTCCAAGGCAGGTGCCCCCCATCCCCACTCCAACATCATTACTTGATTGGTATTAGCGGTTTCAGCAGTGTTGACGAATCAAAAGATATCATATGAGACTTGGCACCAGGATTGTTTGCACATTTGGAGAATAGGGCAGATGAAAAACCCAGCCCAGCAAGGTGTGACGGGGGACAGTTATGAGACTCAGCAACATGTGAGTACATACAACCCAACCCACCCTCACATCAATGAACAAAGTAAAGCTATTCTCAAGACACCTCCAGCCCATCCTGAGGTGACAAGATGGAACCCCCACAACACCTCCCCCTCAGCCTTGGGAATGCCGTGTGTTTATAACAAGGCTGCCATTCAAAAGGATGCCTCTACAATCACTTTCTTTATCCCAGCCTCCTTACACCAGTCTCCTCACCTTGCGTCTGCCTCCTTAAGCCAGCCCCTCTAGCCCTTACCAGCCTAATGGATGCAAATGCGGCCATTAAATCTCTCCAGGTGCAAGCTGAACTTATCGCTGCGATGCGCTGCCTGTGCAGCTTGCTTTTCACTCAACTCAACTCTCAACTCCGAACCAGCAACGACGTCGCATTGATTCCGTCATCACAGCCCCTTAGCCCGGGCCGACCTTGGGAATGTCGTGGTGCTCACTAAGATTAGCCAGGTACTTGTTGAAATCCTCCACGCGCTGCCTGTGCGACTTACTCGCGCCTCTAGCAGCCCGTTCCGCCTCGAGCTTCTCCAACTGCTCGTGATACCGCCGCTCCGCGGGCGTGCGGAGATCCTCCGCCTCCTCCTGCGCCTGCTGCTCCCCCTCTTCCTCCCCCCCCGCCTCCCCTACCGCCAACGCGCCTGATTCGTGCAATCCCGCCGCGCCGCCGCGCGCCTCTTCCTCCTTAAGCGCCGCTTCGGCGTCTCGAAGCGCTTGCAGCTGCAGCGAGTCGAGGTTAACGGCTTTCGCAGCCTTTTTTTTCTTCTTCTTGACGCCGCCTATGGACGGCAGCGCGCGGTCGCCGCCTTTCAGTTTCAGTTTACCGCCGATGACGTTGTTGAACGACATCGCGACGTCAGGATACTCGTCACCGTCTGGTGGCCGTCAGATTGGACGTCGCCGTCTGTGGCAGTCAGGCTGGTCGCAGTCTGGCGGCACGCGAACCGACGACGGGGTTGCTGCTGCTGGCACTCGAGTTTCGAGACAAACGAGTGCTGAGACCTGTGCTTTAAGATTACAACGGATCACGATTGGTGGATAAGGGCGTGTGAGGTCTTTGAAATTTGTAAAAGTTTATGTTTTTAGGGCGAATTTTAGTTTCGAACTTACAACGAAAGAAGTTCGAATTTCCTTCTATCGAAGTTCGAACATCGGGCTTACCACACTGTAAAAAATCACACACACATACAAGGTCGAACCCCGACATTCGAACTTGTAAAAACGAGCCGAGCCGCACATCAACATCATAGGTTACCCGGTTCGAGAGTCTTGACAGTGCGCCACGTCAACATTTTGCGCCTCGGTTTACAAAGACCTAGAGCTCCAACTCACCTTCCGCGCCGAGTGTGTAACCAGGGTACAAATAGCCCTCGTGGCAACACCTTGTATACTCGTCATTCGCCCAACATGACAACCCTACAGCTGGTCCGCTTTCTCCGCATCGTATGACAAGGGTACTTGCAGATGGTGATGCTTCCCGTCCTCAACGCTGTTGGCACGGCACTCCCCACGCTCGTCTCGGCCTTCACTCTCAGGCAGACCCGGGTGTTCGTGCTTGGCGATCGCCTTGACGCACGTGTGCGTTGGTTTCGACTGATAACATCCCTGCCCGAGTACACTTTCTATGAGTATTTGCGGGTTGACAAACGCATTTTCGTGTACTTAGTGCGCCAGTATCAGCCCAGCCGTTTCGCTACACTTAAGCATCCTGTGCATAACTTTTTATTCGTCGCCATGGGACTTAGCAGGCTTGGGCATGGTCTCACATTTCGCGAAATTGGGCTTCACTTCGGCTACTCTTTCTCCCACGCCCACAAGCTGTTTGCGAGGTTCGTATTTTTCGTCAACGAAGTCCTCCTGCCCAAGTGGGTCGTGTGGCCAGACATGGACATGCTGCAGTTGTTCGAGACAGAGTTTCGCCTTCAAGCCGGAATACCTGGGGTGGTAGGCGCCATGGACGGGACCTACATACACTGCCGTGGCATGGGACCACATTGCGAAGACTTCAGAAATAGGAAAGGTTTCTTTTCTATTATTTGCCAACTAATCTGCGACAGCATGGGTCTCATCTGGGACTTTTTTGTAGGATATCCCGGAAGCGTCAACGACGCTCGGGTTTTCATGAACAGCCCTGCAAGAACTAAAATTGAAGGAGGAGGGATATTGGACTACACGCTAGTAGCGGACGCTGCCTATGGATTGAGGCCCTACATCTACACACCCTATCGTGCCCTTCCCGGCATCGCACTTCCCGACCATCAGCGAGTCTGGAACCTCCAGCAGTCCCGCACTCGAATGATTGTGGAGCAGGTGAACGGGAGGCTGAAGACCAAATGGCGCATCCTGGACGGGCGCCTCGAGTGCGACGTCATCCGCGCCCCGCAGGTCGTATCCGCCTGCATCGTGCTTCACAACATCGACCTCATCCTCGGTTTCCGTCACCGCCTGAACGAACCTCGTGAGCGCAACACTTGGTGGCTGGAAGGACCCGTTGCGGAGGCCCCGCATTTCTCGTCGCGCGATGCGGGCTTTACTCCGACTCGTCGTCGATCTCGCCTGGCGGCGTACTTCTACGCTTCCTGGAGGCTCGGGCATCCTGAGCTCTCTCAACCATCTCTTGGGTACGTTCTAAAAACTCATCAAATTGGTCCCGCATAGCCCCTTTTACCGATTGCGCAATTATCCCCGCTATTTCAGCACACAGCACTGAATCACTTGAGTTCATGTGGTTACCAACACCACCTCCCATTGTGTCGTTGCCCGAATGTTCCTCTTCGGCACCCGCAGGCCCAGGCCGGCGGGAAACACCGCGGCCACGGAGCGCAACACCCGCGTTCGCGCCGACGACGTGTGAACGGGATGGAGATGCAGTGGCGGTGGCTGCGGAGATAACTGCAGCAACGGGAGCTAGGCTACGGGCTAGGCACGTGTGCTCGTGTGATCTCTGCGTTCTCTGTTCCTTAGTCGTTTCCTTGTGTGCACACTACTTGCTAGTTCACGGGGAAAATTGGCAAGAGTTCCACTAGGAAAAGTTCAGAATAATGGTATAATGAAGTTGGCAAAGCAAGACTACATCAGAGCAAGCATTCAGGTCGGCCAACTGCCAGCGCAGCTTGGTCGACCGCGTTCCAGCACGACTTGGTCGACCGCACTCCAGCAAGGCAAGGTCGACGGCGTGCCAACGTTGCAGGACAGCAGTGCACCCGCTTCACAGGTGCGCGCAGATGATTGGCGTGCAGAGTCCTGTCACCTCTGATCCGCCACGACGACCTCGGGATACCACCACCGAGGTCGGGCTTGCCAACTTCGCCTGGGAGACCGTCGCGCTCCTCCGCAACACTTCGTCACCCAGGTAACCTGGTCGACCAGGCAACCATGTCGACCAGCAGATTCCATACGTGCCCGTCGACCTCCCAGGTCGACAACCACCTACGTCGACCTCACCAGGCCGACGTCCCCATCGGTCGACCTCCTCCAGGTCGATGTCCCCTCTGGTCGACCAGCTTCTCGTCGACCAGCACAGTTGTCGGCCGACCACCCACGTCGGCCACCCGAAGCTGGCGTCACGAGGTTGACGCCCCACTGCTCGACGCCCATCTGCTCGGCGTCCTGAGTCGAGGTCGACGTCGGCCCCTCCTTCGTCGACCACAAGGTCCAGTCGACCACTAACAGGTCGACCACCGGTCCATTAGCCGGCCGCCGAAGTCAGCTTCGCCAAGTCGGCGTCCTCCGCAGGTCGACTTCCAAGTCGACCTCCCTGAAGTCGGCGCCACCCTAAAGTCGGCGCCCGTGCAGTGGTCCCCCGTGCAGATCGACCTCCTCGTCGACCAGCTCGCCCACTGCAGCAGGTCGGCTGCTTTCCTCACACCCGACCACGAAGTCGGCTCCGCCCAAGCGAGGACGGGGCCAATACCCAACTCCCGTTGACAGTGGCAGCGGCGGGGGACACGTCCGGCGCAAGCGCAGACGTAGACGGAGACGAAAATGGCTGGCGCGAAGGAGAGTGACCAGGCGAAGTCGTCACTCGGCGGGGATTGGGTGAGCGACGAGCCGACTGCGCTCGGCTTGCTGATGCCGCTACGCCATCGGGCCCTGCAGACACCGCTGATGCGGTGGTAGGAGACGCCACATCTGCCGGTGATGGGCGTCGCATAGGGGGGTGTTGGGTGGTTTCATTATTACATGCCACCTTGTTGAATGGTTGTATTAGTAGCATCAATATTAAATTATGAGCAGTAAAAAAAAAGGATCACATCAAACAGCAATCAACACTTACTAGGAATGGTACGAGCCAGAGGAGGAGACGCGGTAGTAGTTGCGGGAATCAAGGGGCCCGCGAGCGCCGGGGGACGCGCATTCGCCCGATCCCCTAGGAACCTGTCGAATATGTAATAGAAAATAGGCATTTTAGGGGGCTTCCCCTTCCCGGAAGGTTTTAACAACAAATCCGACACCTTCCGCCACTGAGCCTCCATACGGAAAACCTTGGCTTTCGTGGCTGCGAGACCATGGCGCCATCCGGGGTGACGAAGACGGACTTGCTCGTAGAGCATGACGTCCCGGTTCTGGCCTTGCAGGCGGCACAGATTCCGATATTGCTCGTCGAAGTCGTGGCGGATCCACGCCAGCTGCATGACTTCCGCCGGCTCCCACCCTTTTTTGTCGATGGGCGTCGCTGCATCGGCGTCGTCGTCGGCGCCGTCTTTGCCATGGCAGTCGATTTCGCCTGCGTCAAAGTACGCGAGGGTGTCGTCGTCAGCACCTAGAGGAGTGTTCCCGTTTGGCACACGCGCCACGATATCGTCCAGGTCGATAACTCCAAGGCGCCACGAAGCGGCCGGATCAACGGCAGCACGCCGACGCCGCTGAGGTGCGGGTGCGCGGACCGGTGCAGCACCAGATGCGGGAGTAGAGGCTGTTGGAGTGGTAGCATCGGCCGGTGTGGCAGAGCCATGGGCGCTGGTGTTGCCGTTTGTCATGTCGAATGGAATTTGCGTATACAGTACACAAGTGTTGGAGAATGGTGGTATATTTGAATGTATCAAGTGCCTTCCACTCCCACAGGATTTCAAAGACATTTGGTGCGGGGGACATGGATTGGCCAAGGGCGGGAGTTTCTTTGACTGACGTCAAGACGGGCGGGACGCGTTGCCACATCGTGCTCGAACATGCCACGATGCTGGACACGTGGCTACCACTGTGTGCACGAATTGTGGGGTGACTTCGTTGTGCAACTTCATGCATTGGCGAAGCGCTCGCCTGTTTCGCCAGTTGTTCGGACGGGCTGCAAATCACACACGCTCGTATGAACGTGCGCACGCACGTTCCCGCCTCCGACTCGAGTCAAGTTCATATTTCAAACTCGAACTTTTGCAGAGCCCATACAATGCTTGGTTCGCGAAGCACCCTTAGCGAAATTAGCGAAAAGGGTAACCACCCAGAGTTCGAACTTTATTTTGAACTTCTACAAAGACCTCACACGCCCTAAGCTTCCAATCACGCTGCTACAGACGAGATTCAAAGAACCCCTGTCAAAAGATTTCGCTACGTGGTGAGTGGTGAGAGAGATATTGCGGGGATGGGCGACACGCACGACGAGGAGGATGTCAGGCCAGCGCGGGAAGGAGGGTCAATTGCGTGCCCGCGGCAGAGGACGTGACAGAGTGAAAAGCTCGACCCTCCACCAGGTCCGAGAGCGATCGTGCTGACAAAAGCAGCAGCATGTACAGGCAGTCGTGAGTGGGATGTGATAACCTTGGTCTTCAAAGGCTTCACTCCGATTTACCTAGAGCCGGATAGCAAACAGCCGAGTCGAGAGGCAGCCAAGAAGTGGAGCGAGCTTGGTAACCTTGTGAACGAGAGTGTAAGGATTTACAGAATCCTTACTGAGGCACTCGTTAGCGAGGACATCCCGAGGGTCACGCGACGAACCTGTCCTTCCTATTTCGTCGCACCGAACCACCCCCGAGTCGCTTCCGCACCAATCGCATCCATCACCGAGCCATCCTCGCCCAATCTCCCCGCCTTGCTAGGACTTCCCCTTTTTAGGCCTCCTCACTTCCATTGTATCGGAATTGAGTAATTCAGTAATCAGTCATTATCGTTATTCGTTTTACTGCGCACTCTGCAAGTTCATTCATAACAGAGAGAATTAGCGCGAAAGGTGAAAAAAACCTCGTTTTTAACATACAGCAAGAGAAAAACATACAAACGCTCACAATTAGCAAGTGCTACAAAGTTTCCTAAGTAGGCTGTCTATCTGATGGATACGGCCGGTAAAAGGCAATCAATTAGCCTGATACTTCTCCCAGTTGCAACCCGTCCTGATTGATATGGTCCGCTCGTCTTGATTCTCACCATGTGATTGTTAAAAAGGTGCATCCCCCAATTTATCAAACCTGCCTTTCTTCCCACAGACACTGCCGCCGCCTGAAAACAAGACCTGACTTTTTACGTCATCTGGCCATTTACAGATAGCCTAGGTGTCATGCAGTTGGTTCGCCGAAGAATCGGGAAGACATTCTTCGCTTTTCCGGTGAGTGTAGAGAAGGATTGTCCAGTAATTTCTTTAATCGCTGCTTCCTTGAAAACCTCCAAAGCCGTCTCAACAGCAGGAGAGGCTGGTGGAGGTGACCAGTGTTCTCGTTCTGGTAACTTGTACCCTGAGTAACAGAAAGAGTCAATGCCATTAAAAAGATACATGGTCCTAACACTCCGAAAGAAAGATGCGATTTCAGCTTCAAAAGAGGCGACACTACGAACAACAGGAACGGGTATGTATTTTAGTCCAAGGCTCAGTAGGTTGAGTTCTTTGGTGGAAAAGGAATGGGAGCTGTAGTTATGGATTCCGCGGTTAGTCACACGACACTGCAGCTGGTACTCTGTCAACCGTCCGAAGAGTAACAGTGCATAATCATGCACGCTATCCATTACTGTGGAGACGTTTTTCCGCGGCCTCCACCTCCCCCCCCGTTTTTTGGTGCAGAACCTTTGCGAGAGTTAGAACCGTTGGCGCTGCGGTTAGCAGTTTTCGAGAAGGAACGTCCCACTGTCTTAACAGCGGTGAGCTCAGCATCATCAGTCCGCTTCTTGCCGCTGCTGCCGTCACTGTTCTTGTTCTTAGCTGTAGTCTGCTTGCCGGATTTCTTAGAACTCGTGCTTTTCTTGGTCGAAGAACGAGTCTTATTATCAGCGGCGACGGAGCTTTTCCTGACATAGACACCCGACTTGTTAGGCTTAGACTTTTTGAAAGCAGGAACCTTATCCTTAACAGCATTGTCGGTCTTCTTCTTAGCGGGAGCCTTAGGAGATGACTTCTTAAGGATTTTCTCAGCCTCCTGACTAGCGATCTCACGATCCGTCGGGTCAACAGGCAGGTTCTCAGCTTCGGTAACAGCAGCTGCTTTCTTGGCGTCAAGCTCCTCTTTTTTCTGCTTAAGAAGGACTTCAGCCATATTAGTCTCCATGTAGATCAGCGACACAGCAGTCTTAAACTCATGCAGCACTCGCGCCTTGAAGAAATCCAAACTTCCAACGAGTTTCGGGTTCTTAGCGCCGAGATCCGACTTCTTATTGAGATTAATAAAGTTGTCGATATGATGCAGGAGTGACTGATTAACAGCAGCAGCGTCGCTGAAAGCGTTGTCAGTAGCCTTCTTCTTCATGGAAATCAGGACAGCCTGAGCATTATGGCAATAAGCCAGCCGAGCAGATTCAAGATCTTTGTCTGCTTCTTGTCGGAGCTCTTCAGAGTTACAGACGAAGTTAAAAGGCTTGATCCTGATAGAGTGCGGGATGATCCCGTTTTTCTGCTGCTCTTCCATGAAAATGAGTTGTTGTCGCAGCATACGGTACTTCATGAAATGTTTCTTAAAATCACTGATGGCTTGCTGCTTCAAGGTGTTAAAATAGGACGGAGTTGCCTGCTTTTCCAAAAAAGAGAGGTCAAAGTCTCCGATGAAATCAAACGAATCGGACATAATGGTGTCACGAGTAGTAGAGTTGTCTTGAAAATCTTTCACCGCTTCCTGCCCAGCAAACGTCGTAGTAGCGATAGGGGTCGCCATGACGATGGGAGTAATACCCGGAGCGTTAGTAGTCCCAGCAAGAGTAGCTTCTGAAGTTTAGATAGCTCTTCTCTTAGAGGGTCTGGAAGCTGAAGGAGGTTCGAATGAGAACCCCTTCACAGCTGACTGCTCTTTATCCTTGGTGAGCTTGTCGAGAGGCGAATTCCTTCGCGTAGTTCTCGAAGTTCTTGGGATTTCCAGAGTGCGGTCAGCTTTGGCGGAAGAAATCGTTGAATCTTTGGTTGCATTGAATTTATAGTTGGCCATCGTAGTGGTATCTGTAGTAAGTCCGAGTGGGCCCCAATTAGGTGCCATGAGTTTATGTGGCAGCAACTATGCTTTTTAGGTAAAAAATATGTGTAAAAGGTGCTTGCTTGTAGACCTTGTGAAGAAAAGTTTGATGGTAACCGGTTTCGGCATATAGCCTTCTTCAGACCACAAGGAGAAAATGAGCAAGCAAGCTACGTCAAATACCAACCCCTAGGGCTCCATCGCGTGGCATTCCATCGCGGGGCCTGGGTGGTGGGGGGACGAAAAGAAAACAGTACAGTACAAACATGCACAAGTGATCTAACTCTTATGAGCGGAAATATGAAAATTCCCTACTCTATGCGGTAACCTCCAAGCAATAATAGCTCTCCGTGAAGAAAACACACCGTGTGACATTATACTGAGGTGACTTTTGACAGATAGCCTAGGTGTCATGCTGTTGGTTCGCCCACTTTCATCATGCCCCCATTCTCTCCTCCTTAGCTTCTGCCATCATCGCCTCTAGAGCATCCACATCTGCTGGAACTGCCGCTGTCAGATTCTGCAAGACGTGGAGGGAATGGCGTGACACACATCAGGGGGGAATGAATTTATGTAGGCGTAGTGCCGTTGATGCCACACACCACCAGTGCCACCATCAACGCCTCTAAAACATCCACATCAACCACAACAGGAAAGAGTGGCACAGTGGGAATGCCTGACAAAAAAACAGAACAAAAAATAAGAGCCTGCACTGTTTGGAAATATTGAATGTACTTGTTAATACCATTCACACCCTGTAGGGTATGAATCCTGTACTTGTGATACGCTGAATTCTCAAAACTCAGCGCACTCCGGGTTATGAAAGGCCGAGTTTCCACTTAAAACTGCGATGCAAGCAAACTTTGGTGCAAGAACTGCTGTACACCTTTTTCAGTTGCGCAGCAACCACACAAATAAAAAATAAGCTCAAATAAAAAATTCTGATAGATGTGTAGATGAATAGATGTGTTTGCAATGGCAACAATTACCTCATAACCGTCGGCCGTTATCAAAATGTCATCCTCTATGCGCACGCCTATGCCACGCAGGCTGAGGGAGTGAAGGAGACGGAGAGACACACACGGTAGGTGAAGGAGACGGAGAGACACACACGGTAGGGAAAGGATGCAATGAGGAGAACAACTAGCAGCTTCAAAATGTCATCCTCTATCCGCACGCCTTTGACCCGCAGGATGGGAAAGTGAAGGCGAGAGACAGGGATGAGGGCGGGTAGGTTGGAGAAACTGAGTTGCAGAAGTGGTTTGAGTTTATTCAAATCGCATCCGAGGGGGACAGACGGGGGAGTTGAGGGGGTTGGCGATGGGAAGACCAAATTTCCATGAAAGCTCAAGAAAGACCGACGTTAACCATATGTCCAGCTGGGGGAGAGAGGGGGGTGGGGTGGGGTGGGGTGTGTGCACTCCAGTCTCCAATACCAAACTCAGTGCTTCGGCACTTGGTCAACAAGTGGTTTTTCACCGTCCATAGTTAGAAGCAGGATTACAAGCAGGGGTTTGGAATGATGGGATGGGAGTGACTCACTGTTTTGGCACTTGGTCGATGTCCGGGAGATAGAGGCCTGGTTCGATTGTCAGCACCTGGGATTGGGGAAGCACGCACGCATGATCACGAAAGAGAAGTGCTAATGTTCGACAAATGTAGGGCCCGACAGGTTTCGAATGTGAGAGGAAGAGAGCAATGCACAGTCATGTGTGTCCAGCCCTGGCCAGTGCCATGCCATGCCCACCACTCATGGCACCATCTTTCCATGCATGCGACCCTAAACCTTACACCCAAAACCTTGATACCGACAAGGTTGACAAGGAAGAAAGGCGGGCTCACCACACCAGGCTTGAGTTTTGAGGCGCCTCAAAAGGCGGGCTCACCACACCAGGCTTGAGCGGCTGAAAGGAGGAGACGGATGCACAGTCGTGTGTGTCCAGCCCTAACCAGTGCCCTGCCACGCCCCCACCAGTCATGCTACCGCCATCCATGCATGCATCCCTAAAACCTAACCCTCTACATTGATATTGGGAAAAGGGGAAGAAAGCGAGCTCACCACACCAGGCTTGAGCGGCTGAAAGGAGGAGACGGATGCACAGTCGTGTGTGTCCAGCCCTAACCAGTGCCCTGCCATGCCATGGCACCATCCATGGATATTCATAGCATCATAAACCATGTCAACGCCATCCATCCCACCATCCATCCCACCATCCATCCCACCATCCATCCCACCATCCATGCCACCATCCATGCCACCATCCATCCCACCATCCATCCCACCATCCATCCAACCATCCATGCCACCATCCATCCCACCATCCATGCCACCATCCATCCCACCATCCATCCCACCATCCATGCCACCATCCATACCACCATCCATCCCACCATCCATGCCACCATCCATGCCACCATCCATGCCACCATCCATGCCACCATCCATGCCACCATCCATCCCACCATCCATGCCACCATCCATGCCACCATCCATCCCACCATCCATCCCACCATCCATGCCACCATCCATGTCCAGCGCCATCCATCCCACCATCCATCCCACCACCCATCACACCACCATGCCATTATCCATTCCATCGTGTCATGTCACCCTCAACACATGCAAAAGACGCATACAGCAGGTGAACCAAGCGCACGTTGTGATGGACTTAAAAGTGTTCAATTATACTTTGTTCAAGGAGGTATTTGGATTACTTTTACTCTCAAAAACATGTTCCGCAGACCAGCCAGTGCCTTGATTGGAGCAAGACTGCGAATCTATTAGCAATGCACATTCGAATGCTTGTGATTCACTAAATCATTTGCCTATCAGTTCATAGGGTGCGGAGATTTGAGTGTTAAGCTTCCTTATAATACTACAGTAGCGACTACAAATCAGTGAAGTTAACTTCAGAGTGCGGAAGTATACTTAAAATGAGCAGGATGGGCTTGAAAAGAATGACAAGAGTCAAAGTTGAGCTTGCTAAAGAAACGAATAAGACCAAAAGCGAATCTCAAGTTTGAAGTCTCACCAACAGCAGCACATGAATCAAACCCTACATCCGAAGCCTCACCAACAGAGGTCGGGTAGAACTGCCGGAATGCTCCTCTTGCCACCTGCTGTGCCGAGCCCTGGCACACTCCCAGCTGCACCAAGGCTGATGAGAGAGATATGACCTGGTGGTTTTAGGGGCAGTTGAATGAGGATATATTTAATAAGTCGATTTAAAACCCACCTCCCGCCACCTGCTGTGCCAAGCCCTGGCACACTCCCAGCTGCACTAGGGCCGAGGAGAGGGATATGACCTGGTGGCGGTGGCAGGGGGGTGGGTGGGTTACAGAGAGTCTAATGAGTCCACCTCACACCACCTGCTGTACCGAGCCCTGGCATACTCCCAGCTGCACCAGAGCTGACAAGAGAGATGTCACCTGGTGGTTCCAGGGGGGGTTGAATGAAGAGAATAATATGAGTCGATTTTGAACCCACCTTGTGCCACCTGCTGTGCCGAGCCCTGGCACATTCCCAGCTTCACCAGAGCCAAGGAGAGGGATGTAATGTGGTGGTTCCAGGGGCGGTTGTGGACGGTGGACGGTGGTTTAAAGGGGTGCTGGAACGTGGTGGTCAGGGGTTGGAAGGGAGACAGCTGGAGAGGAGAGGGATGGACCCGAGCCCTGGCACACTTACTGCCAGTCAATGCTGCGAGTCAGTGCTGCCCCACACCATGCAACTCACCATGCCCCACACCATGCAACTCACCATGCGA